AATCTCTAACACTGTCTTATTCCCTGCCGAACTCTCCCAGGCCTCATGCCCCCACCTTGCTACGTTACAGGGCAACGCGACTCACCCCAGCTCTGGCCAGCATTGTCCCAACAGGAACCCTTGGTTTTCCCTTGGAATGCCTGCCCAAGGCATCCCCACATCTCGCTACCAGGCCTCACATTCCTTTTTTTTTTTTTTTTTTTTTTTTTAATAAAAAACCCACCAGTGTTAGTTGTGCTGATAAGAGCAGACACCACTGACATATGGGGAGCAACTCCATCTCTTAGTGGGGAGCATCACCTGCTGGAAAACGGGTCCAGCGTCCCATATACAGACTGGGATTGGAGTATATCAGAAAAAGGATTGTTCCTGCCAGCATTGATTACCCTGGGATCCAGAGGATTGACTGAACAGGCTATTTTTCTTTTTTTTAATAAAAAAACCCACCAGTGTTAGTTGTGCTGATAAGAGCAGACACCACTAACATATGGGGAGCAGCTCCATCTCTTAGTGGGGAGCATCACCTGCTAGAAAACGGGTCCAGCATCCCATATACAGACTGGGATTGGAGTATATCATTAAAAGGATTGTTCCTGCCAGCATTGATTACCGTGGGATCCAGAGGATTGACTGAACAGGCTATTGGAAGAGGAGGGGAAGAGTCTCTTCACCCTAAAACCGGCGCCAGATACCTGCTGTTACATACTAATTCCTCCCTCCCCCTGTCATTGATTGCACTGGGATCCAGAGTATTAACTGAGCAAAGATTTGATTTACCCAAATAAGAACTGTTCCACTAAGCTCAGCGAAGAAGGTGGGAACGAGTCTGGGAAGTCCGAGAGTGGCCGAAGTGTAATCGCAGGGTCGAGTATTGTCCATTCATGGAAGCAGAGCTGGTACTGCCTGTGAGCCATCTTTTGATCCCCTCCTTGCCTTTCGCTCTCTTTCACCATCCCCAACACCCCCCCATTTGTTCCTCGAAGCCAGTTGCCACTAAATCGTTGAATATTCTATTGGATTTCCTTTGAGTCATGAAGAGTTGAGATCCGGATTTTCACCTGTTCCCACTGAGAGGAGATGTCAGCATGTACCTGTTTCTTGATGGTGTCTGTGAATTCTGGTCCGTCCAGTCTGACTTTTTCCATCTCGTGAGTGCAATGTCTCCACCATAGGGCCCACATTACTGCCCTGCGTCCTATTTTGAAAAGGTTGTGTGAGAAAGTGTTAAACTAGGGTGGATGCCAGGTTTCATAGAGGATAGTTTTCCAGTCCCATGGCCATGGACAATTGGTGCCAAGTTGACTCCATATTTTGTCCCACCACCTCCCGAGCCAGACCACCCTAGGGCATTGTAGGAAGATGTGTTCAATTGTCTCCGAAAGTTTCATGGCAGGAAAGACCGCGTCACAAAATTTGCACCAGGGTAGTGTTAGTCCTCTTTGTTCAAGGGACGATCGCTCTATAACCCAGTCGTTGGTTGGTAGACAGCGATGGTCAATTTGCCATTGTAGGGAGGCCACTTTGGCGGGTCTAGCTCGTATCCCTTGGAACCACTTGATTGGGTGCAGTGACTCCTTACTAACATTTAACTGTCTCCTCCATCTGTCCTATACCTGGTCTTTGAGGTTAGTCTTTGGCCTTAGCATTCTATAGGTGGATTTGACCGATAGATTGTGTAGGGCTCGGATACATTTTCTAGCTTTGCTTGTTATGTTAGATCAGGTCCAGTTGATAGGATCAAAGGGGAGGTTAGCAATTGGTGTATTCGGTTTGAAGGCTAGCCATCCCTTTTCGTGTTGTAATGCTAGCCATCCCTTTTTGTGTTGTATTACTCTGATCCGGAATAGCAAGTTGTCCAAAACCCATTCCGTTATTTCTGGTTGGGGCCTATGTAATATGTTGTCATGTCCCAGTCTAAAGAGGTTGAGTAGGGATTCCCCTTGCGGGTGTCTGTCAACTATGCGGCCCACCCATTAGGGTCTCCCTCGTATGGCCACCCAGTCGCTCTCCTGCATGTCGGGGCCTTTTCGTAGGATCTGGACCCAATCCAGGTGGATCATCCCAATCATTTCGTCAAGTGCTTCGTTCGAGTGGTGGCAATAGTGTAACTTAGTTCTTATCTCCTCTGAGGAGGGCCAGTCTTTTGGTATTTGATCCTAGATATCCCTTAGTATTCCCATTACTCCTCTTGCTACCAGTTCTCGCAATGGAAAGTCCATACAGTGCGGGGATTGTCCAAGAGAATCTTTGATCCATCTGTTATGATTGAAGAGGGTTGTCCAGTGCCCAGATCGCTGATCTGTACTAGAGTGATGCGATGACCACGTTATTTATCACAAGCGTTCGGTCTAGCAGGGATGTGTGTTTGTCTTTCCATGCTGCTAGTTTTTCTAGTGCCGGTCATTGTAACTGGCTGAACGCGCTGGACCCTCGTTCATACCCCCCGGGGCCGCGTTCAATCACGTTCAAATGCGCTGCGCGACACGTGGCGCGAAAAAATTAAACGCGACTCCGGGGGGCGCGCGCGTGTGATACGCAACCTCACGCCCCCTCGCGGCTTCCCGTACCGGGTCGCCGATTAGAGTTATAGGAGGGGCGTGGCCCAGGATTTTTGGGCCGTTGGGGTTGAGTCTCCCGGTGGGAACGGAAGGCTCTCGTTTCGAACCAGAGGTTATCTCGGGATCGATCTTTCGCCAGTTAGTCCCGTGGAGGTCGGGTCAGCCCAGGGTAATGAAAACCGAATAGTTCCGCAAGGACGAACTGCCGCAATGAATCAAAATGAAGAAGGGCATCAAGGGGAGGACGCCACGATGGCTAAGGGCCGAAGACCGGGCCGTCGGGTTTTCATTGTATAGGTGGTTGGTTCGAGGCCTTCAAGCCTCGGCGTCGAACTCACAAAGTCTGCGCGGAAGTTCCCGAGAGGGTGAAGCGGTGGGAGAACTTGCCGATACCCGAATTCGAAATTGCGCGGGCAGCGCCCCCGCATTACGGGAGAGCCTAGGGAAACGTGCCGCTCCCTCGTAACCCAGGACCAGTCGTCGCTAAGAACACGAGTCCACCTGGCAACACCAGCGACAATCAAACTTCGGCCGCCACGTGGCGTGAGCGCCCGACCAGGGCAACACAGTCAAATCCGTATAAGGCAATATTAGAGTCGGGGAATCGAAACCGTCAATTCAGACGAACCCGTCTCCCCTAATATTAAGCGCCCGGGGCAGGTCTCGCCAACAGACTTGCTCCGTTCCGACCGTTCGATTCAAAGCACGCCGTACATCCGCATCGCAGTAGACGCTGTCGTCATCTGCGATGGGGAAGGCCAGTAGCGAGATGGGACGATCGGAGGTAGGCGATAAACATGGGCCAGACCCCGCGCTCCCGGTCATCCGTAACAACACTGTCTCCATGCAACACTCGATGCGACCCTTCTCTCTCAAGGTTAGTGCGTCGGCAGAAGATGATGAAATCTAAGTTCTCTTCCCTGTCGCGGGGGCGTTGACCGCGCGCGCGGATGCCGACGGTTGACGTCACCAGTCCAGGGACGAGAAGTTCAAAAGCGATGACTACCAGTTTAAAAAGAAAGGCGAGAGAGGGAGAGAGAGAGTGAGTTTACACCGAGACTGCGCGTGGGCGCAGGAAGGGCCGCGGAAGGGAGGGGAACAACAGGATTAACACACTCCTACTCCTAAGCAGACGGTCCTCCCGTTCAGTTCCCCCGTCCCCGCCCGGATAAGTACGTACACACATACATGCATGCAATCAACAACCCTTGACAGGACATCCAATCATCCATACACCTTTGACATCACTCATGCGCACAACAAGCTCCCATCACTCGGGGCCTCACACCCACGTCCTGCATAGACAAAGAAGCAATTGAGATAAAAGCGAGTCCTTCTTGTATACAAAAATTCTCAATTAACTGCCGCCCCCAGGCGCAGCCTTCAAAACTTCCCAAGACCACCGACGACCATAGCCACAAGGCCCTGCCGCGGCCGGCGTTCAATCCCCACCACTGCTCGCCCCGAGTCTACCGCGGGTCCACCCCGCGTCGTCACTCCGCCCGTCCTTGGGCTCGTCGAGCCTGTTCGACGCCACGGACTTCGCACATAGCTCGCGCAACATTTCAGCCGAGATCAAAGAGAAGGAGAGGAGAGGGTTGCGCGAATTTATAGAGCGGGAGGTGGCGGGTTGTCAGCGCGAGGTGCGGCCAGCGCAGGGTGTAGATGAGGAGGACAGAAGAAAGGTTGGGAGTTAGAGGGTTCGACCCTTGGGGTTGCATGGTCCTGCGTGATTGGGGTGTTCGTTCAAGTGGTGCGCGGTTTTCCGCTCTCCACATTGATCCGAGCATCCCAACTACGCAGCAAATCACTTCGCGTAGGAAGACGGGTTAAGGATCGGGCTGGGCGTAGGGGAAGACGAAGAGTCCTGCATGGGGGGGGGAAACGCGCGCGGCAAGAACGGAAGATGGCGCGGGGACGCAAAGCAAGAAACGGGGGTGCGAGACGCGCGAAGAAGTCGGAGCTTCCATACCGAAACCGTTTCTTGGTTTTCATACCGCCGCCGTTATTCGCCCGCGCAGGAGGTATTAACCAAAAAAAATGAAAAAGCCATTTCAAAAAGAAAACAAAAAGTAAAAAGAAAGAAAAACCCCTTTTTGTTCGCATCCGTATTTCGGGGCTTCCGGGGGATTTTTCCTCAGGGATACGGCAAGCCCCGCGGTACGGGTCTGAGCTTATCACATTTGTGATATGCAGGGGGTTCCGAAAAATTAAATTAGCAGTCTCCCGGCTGCTGATGTCATCATATTTTGGATGCTCGGGCGGCCTCTTCATCGTCAGCTGGCCCGAGCATCTCCTATCCAACTTCGATGCATTTCGCATCGCCTGTCATCTCCCTCTTATTATACATCCGATCGGGCGGCCCCTTCATCGTCAGCTGGCCCGATTGGTAAGTAGTCCACTGAATTTCTTTTTAGTTTTTTTTTTTTTGTATACATACAGCGCGTCTCGACGCGCTAACTTTGGGGCATAGGAGAGGAAGACGATGAAGAGAAGGAGAACGAGAGAAGAGGGGAGAGGTAGACGAGGGTGATCAAAGGAAGTGATCGATGTCGGGATTAAGAGGGGGTGGAATAGGTGGAAGGAAAGCGGTCATTGCCGCGGGAGTCGTCGGTGCGTCCTCCTCATGGAAGTGGTGCTGGACAAACGAGGGATAGAGAAAGCCCCCCGACACATGAGACAGGACACGTGGCGCCAGATCCGCCACCGCTCGCACCACCCGCTTGCGCACCGACCACGGTCCGGGACCCGTCATCACCATATGAGTCTCGGTGTAGGGTCGTCGCTCCCGCTTCTGCGCCACAAAGACAAGGAAGTGATACATCACATTGGGACACTGCCCGGTCTTGTAGATGAGCGTCCCCGCCAGTAGCGCCACAATACACCCTTGAAAAGAGGGTGTCAGATATCGCTCCCACGCCGGATGAGGGCGCGGCGCCCCCACAATGGCCTCGAGCCTAATGGTGGTGGGCTCCACCATGAAATCCACCTCGGTCGGATTGACCGTCCAGCTCGGAGGAACTACTAATGTCAATGACCGGGGCACTCCGGGGTGGCTGGCGGAAGCGGAAAGGTCCCACGAGGACGGGGGATCTGGGATACGACGAGGGAGTTCGCAACGACTTTTCCTCCGGGAAGTCCTCCAACCTCTCCTCGCGGTGCGCAATGTAATCCGGGATGATGACCGCGTTGTACGTTCTCCGCGGGGCCGTCGTCCGCAATCGTGGTTGGACCTCCTCTTCCTCGCTCGCGATCACTTGCGCAATGGATAGGAGCTCAAGATATATGAGTTCCAACAATCTCGGATCGGTCGTCTGGAGCTGGGCAAATTGGTACAACGCCACCGTCCCCTCCCTCTGCGCTGGCTTGGGCCGCGTGATGACGTAATAAACGACGAAGTGCTCCCCGATGCAGTGATCTTCGTGATTCACGAAGAACCGGAACATCCCCAACACCACCGACTTGTATAGTGCGCGGTGCAATTCCCGCGCGTCTTCGTCTGCGAAGGGCAGCGGCTCCACGTCAGTCAGCTCCACCAAGTACTCCGAGAACTCCCGCATAGGATAAGGGCCGTCCGTGAGTTGATAGGGGAGAGTGGTGTAAGAGAAGAAGGGAGGCATTTAGTACGGGGCAGGGGGAATAGCTTGGATGTTGAGAGGGGCAGCGGGAGGAAGAAGCGCGGGGAGCTGTGGCACCAATGCAATTGGTCCGTCCTCTGCCGTGCGTAACAGCGCTTCGTGGGCTGTGAATCGATGTCCTCCCCGTCCTTGCACTCTGGCCCCTGATCTGGCCGCCTGCACCGCGTATTCACGCACAAAGCTTCACGCCAGCTCCCGACTCGGCTACGGCAGGATCGTCAAGTCTCCGATAAAGGTGGTGACACTATGCACGAATTTAGGTGCCACCTGGAGCGCGCGGAACTCGATGAACACTCATGTCGCCTCCCGCCCAGGCAACTGCGTCACGTCCACGTACACCCCCGCATACGTCAGCCGATCACAAAGTAACGAGTACGCCACCAGATCAGCAACCCCGGGCGCTGGCACGTTCACCTGCTGAATGTCGTATCGCAACTGCCTCTCCTCATTGAATTGATGCCGCAACAAGCGATCTGCAAGCGGCGTCTGGAAATGCTCGAGGGGCTCATGCTCCGGCTGGTGATGGTTCATCCTGCTCCCTGAAACTCCCATCACCAAGGGACGAGGCAGATCGGGAAGAGGAAGAAGACAAAGAAGGAGATGGGGCAAGAGCCGATTCGCGGCTCGGAGATGGCTGAAACAGCCGAAGAGCCGCCGCGTGTCGCGTAAGCGACCTGGCCTGCGTGCTATGTTAGGGGACCAGCTTCACGGAGTGCTGTCCTCGTGCGCCAACTTCTGTCACTTCGTAAATGCCGGTATAGCATGGGTGGATCTTGGAGGAGCGCGCAGATTTCCGTATCTGCACCAAGTCCCCGATTTTATAACGGGGCATTGGTCCCTCTGTAGCGTGTCGGTTCTCATACTCCCGGATCTGCCGTTGATGCGTCAGATCTACGACCCTTTGTCATCTTCGGGCTAACGCGGGATAAGTCCGGGCCATCAGATCCAGGTAATGCTGGGCCTTGTCCTTGTGCTGGGCCTGGGTCACTCTAACTTTCGTACCCACCAGAGGTGACAACTGCACTCTGGGGACGCTATTGGTTCTCAGTTGGAACGAGGACACCCCAGTGCTCCCGTGGGGAGTAGCCCAATAGACGGCCAAAATGTGGTCGACTATGACAGGCCAGGGCCTGGTATCACCTGTCATGATATTCCGTCTAAGTGTAGTCTTGATAAGTCGGTTGGCATTCTCTACGAGCCCGTTGGCTTGAGGCCAGTGCCCTGGGGAGTATGAAATTCTAACGTTTGCCCTTACAAGATGTCACTCTACTTCCCCCTGGAACGCGGATCCATTGTCCATATGTATCTCTTCTACGTCCAGGTGCATGCACAAAAAGCGATTAATGTACCAGGCTACTTCTTGCGAGTTCCGGCTGGTCATTGGATACGCTTCGATCCATTTCGAAAAATGATCTATGGCTACAAGAAGAACATTGAGTTCTCCTTGATCAATAGGGCCTCTCGGCACGTTGATGTCCGTCGTATGGATACTGACCCGTTGGAAGGGGCGCTCTACCCGAGTAGGCACTATTGTACGGGGCATCTGTATTTGCGCCTTATCGGCCGCGCAGGCCGGGCAAGTCCGGACGATGTATTTCACATCTTCCCGGATTCCCGACCAGTACCATCCGTTTTTCTCTATTGCTTTTTCCGTGTATTTGACTGCAAAGTGGACCGCATCCTCCTCGTGGCCGGCTCGTGTCCAATCGAACCTGACCTGTGGGTGTGGAACCGTCAGCCAACTAGATCCGTCGACATCATCATCTTTTCGTTTTTGAAGGACGGATCCCTGCCAGCGGTAATCGTGCGCCCGTTCCGTGACACGTTGCCGTTCAGCCTTGGTAAGTTTCGTCAGTGGGTCGCCTGTCAGTCTCCGTAATAGCAGAAGATCCGTCCAGACTTCCGCTCGGCCGACGCTTGGCAAAAATCCGTCTGCCGTTCTGGCTTCTAGATACCGTTTTTCCGTAGGTACATGGTCCGTTCGACAGTTGGGACAGTTCCAACTTTTTTCATTCCGATACCAAGCACAACTCCCGTGGGACCGGACAATGTGACGTTGACTACATTGTACCCAGGGAAGAAAGCTAGGCCCCTCGAGAGGAGGATCTCCCCCTGCCGGTATCATTGGCAAGGTGCAGAAGAAACAGATTTGGGAAGGCGTGCTCGGAGGGGAGTCGGGGTCAGGAGAAGGGGTTAAAGAATAGGGAAGGGGAGAAGGGGTGGCGGCCTCCTCATGAGAGATCGCCATCTCCGATTGTTGCAGTACCCTTGTGGAGAACATTCACCTCTCCGTAGCCGGGTTTCGTCGAAGGCGAAATCGGCTTCCACTGGATAAGCTTTTCGTTCGCGGGACTCTTGTTCGGCGGCTGGAGGCGCGTTAGACCATCGGCGTTTCCGTGCTGCCTGGTGGCGCGGTGGCGGATGTCGAATTCGTAGTCTTGCAATCTCACCGCCCATCTTCCCAAGGTACCCGTATAGTCCGTGTTGTTCCGCAATGATAGCAATGGCTGATGATCCGTCACGAGCACGAACTTCTGGCCGTACAGATACGGTCGATAGTGCTGAACCCCCTACACCACCGCCAAACACTCACCCTTGCACGCCTCGTAGTTTGACTGCGCCTGACTTAGCGTTTTCGACACATACTCGATGACGTGCTCCCTTCCATCCGTTCCTTGCTGAGTCAGCACCGCCGATATCGCTTGCGACTGCCGGTCGGTATGCAGCGCAAACTGTCTTGTCGGATCGGGACGCGCCAACACGGGTGCCGATATCAAAGCCTCCTTGAGTGCCCGAAAAGCCGCCTCGCATTCCGGCGTCCAGATCAGCTGCTCCTCCTTCTTCAGCAGGTTCATCAGCGGCTTGGCGAGGCAGGCAAAGCTCTGAATGAAGTGCCGATAATAAGAGGCCAGCCCTAGGAAGGCTCGAACCTGAGTGAGCGTGACCAGGGCCGGGGCTTCTCGAACTGCTTCTACCTTCCTGGGATCCGGTTTCAGTCCCTCGATCGTGACGATGTAGCCCAAAAAGGAAATTTTGGACAGAAAGAACTCGCGAACTCGCTTTTCTCCAGAGTCACATGGAACCCCGCATCTTTCAACGCATGCAACACCCATTTGACATGTTCCATGTGGTACTAGTAGGTTTTGGAAAAGACCAAAATGTCATACATGTACACAATCACACAAAAATTTATCAACGGTTGTGTCAAACGGGTTTTGTTAACGAATTCGGCGAAGGCCATATCCATGGCCCGCTGGAATGTTGCGGGGGCGTTGCAAATTCCCATGGGACACCGGATCCACTGCCACGTGCCCTCGAACTGGACAAAAGCGGTTTTGGGCCGGTCTTCCGGTCGGACTGCAACGTGGTGAAAACCGTGTCGGATATCGAACTTCGAAAAGACCCGAGCGGACCTGATAGCATCCAGCAGATCGTCAATCCGTGGCAGCGGATAGACATCTTTGGTAGTAATAGCATTTAATTTGCGGTAGTCAATACACACTCGGACTGAACCGTTTCGTTTCGGCACGAGGACCACGGGAAACAACCATGGTCCAAACGATGATTCAATCCACCCCAACCGCTCGAACTCCCGTACCCTTTCCAGGGCCAGTTGTCTCTCCTTTAGGGAATAACGGTACGGTCGGCAATGTATCGGCGCGCGGACACCGGTATCAATCGCGTGTTGGATCAGGTGGGTAAGTCCTATGTCGTGGTCCTGGATACTGATGGCCTCTGGGTAGGCCCGTATAACTGCCAAAAGAAGGCTTTTGTAGTCGTCAGGCACATGGGCCGACAGCCGAACGTCCACGTTTCCCTCAGGGAGGGAGGTCGTCGATGTAACCATGGGGACTGCCGCGTTGGCTTCGGGTGAGGCACCAAACAGAGAATTGTCGATTTTTGCCGAAAGCACGGTCGCGATAAGTTGATTGTCTGCTGGGCTTATCGGTTCATTTTCCATGTCACTGTCGTTCTCGAGCTTAGTTTCAGCCGAGGGTTCCACTGAAAAGGCCTGTATCAGTTCCTTCGTCCTCGATCGATATTCCCTCGTCCGGGGTTGAAATGACACCCCTTCCTTCAAGAGCAGGGCGGCTTTTGCGTTTGTAAGCAGGGGCCTCGGAGGCCGAAAAGTTAAATCGCACAAGCCCCTGAGCTCCGTAAGCCTTTCGGTTAGGGGGTTCGTCCTAAGATATAAGGACGCAGGGGGTTCCAAAAGGTCAGTTATTCGTGACACCCTCAGCAGGGGTTCTACCTGCACCACGAAGGAGAACGCGTGCGACCAATCGGACTCGCTCTGAATTATTTCCAGGGGTTCTCGTCGCCAGGAATGGCGCCACCGATCCTGCATTTGGATCAGATATCGGTTGGGTACATCAGTCTCGTCAGTTTCCGACGAAGTTTCATTTTCGCCTGGTGACAGGCGTCGGATCATGTTGATTTGATGGGCTTTCATGGTGATTCGAGGCGCCGGCTGGGTGCGCATCCGCACCGCCAATCTCATCGGTATCATTTGTGGTTTGGGGTGGGCCGATGTGAGCACCACCTTACAGCTGTCAAAGTGCATTCGCACTCCGGCCGCCGCCTGCCACGGAATGCCTAGCAGAACATCATACGCCTGTACATCCAGTACGATTGCGTCACACAAACAATGCACCCGCCCCACCCGTATAGGCACGTTCGTTATCCGCCCCTTACAGATATATTTAGTTCATCCGGTCGTAGGGGCTGATCCTGTCCTTCCCTTCCCAATCGTTTCGTCAATCTCCAAGAAATGGCGACCGCTGATGATCCCGAGCCTAGGATGGCGGCCGAGGGGTTTCCCCAGACCTCGCAGTCACACTCAACGCTTTTCCAGGTTGTAGGATAGGCTCGGAGGAATACCTTAGACTTTCCTGAGGCAGGATCTACGGTCTGGATCATTCCTACCCGGTTGGCTTCGTGCACCTTTGAGGTCGAGGGCTGTGACTCTTCGTTTGTGGGTAGGTCTCGTAGGACCGACTTTTTGCCCTTTCGACTTTCCTCGAATCAGCGCCTGTTTTTGAGGCATCGTTTGATCAACTTTTCGTTAGCCGCCTCGGAAATGGTTAGCAGATAGGGAATAGGGACGGGGATCTGTAGATCCAGAGCCTTCAACGCATCCGACACGTCGATGTGACCGTCTTTGTACTCAGGGCCAGGTGTCGTGAGATCTTCGAACCCCGACCGCCAAGACCCGAGGTCGCTTTCCTCGGTAATCCTTTGGATGTGACGTATCACTCCAATGGTCCCGGTTTCGAACATCGCCGCAGCCATATACTCATCGGGTCCTATCTCGACGGCCACAGGGGGCACCAGTTCCGTTGTTCCAGTATCCATCACCATGGCTACCCTCCCTTGTCCTGCAACGGTATGAGCAGCCAACGGGATTTGGGAAGGTCCGGTGGGCCCCGCGGGCCCACTCTGAGTTCGAGGTTTCGGACAATCTTTTGCAAGGTGGCCCGACTGATTGCAGTTGTAGCACCGTAGAGGTTGGGCCACTCCTGCTGCTGCTGGTCGGGTCATAGGGGTACCGGCGGCAATGGTAGTTTGCTGTCGTTGCGCAGCTGCCACCCGTTGTCGCTGCAAGTTTTGAACGAATTCCGTCAGCGGGGCTACTACCATGACCAGCTGAGCCGCGACCTCTTTCATTGATATTTCGTCCTCGTCCCGACCTCCTTGAGCTTGACCAGAGCGTCGGGAGGTCGACGTGGAAGACAAAATTTTTCGATCCGAATTTTTCTTCGCCGGTCCTAACCCGAAGCGATCCTCGAACATTTGCGCCGCAGCGAAGTAGCTATGGCGTCGGACACCCGAAGGGTCGTCTTCGTCGGACTCCGAATCTAGACCTACATCGTAATTTTCCTTCCCGTACTTAATGGCATACTGAATGAGTTCGGTCAGTGTGTGTTCTATCGGGTTGCATTTCTTGCGGATCTTCTTCCGCAAGCAAGAATCGGACAGTCCCCTAACGAAATCAGTCCGCACCATCTTTTCATCGACCCCGGAGCGTTTGGCTAAGTAAGTAAAACGCTCTGCATATCTGGCCAAGGTTTCCTGAGGCTGCTGCGTATATTCTTTTATCAGGCGAAGGCACTGCCCGGGTGTGATGTGATCAAAACGCTCGAGCAACTTTCGTTGGAAGGTTAGCCAATTAGTGTAGGGGTTCTGCCCATACCACTCAAAAGCGGTTCCGGCTAACCTCCCCAGGATTCGTTCTCGAAACAACTGGTCCGACCAGCCCTGGGCTTTCAAGGCGGCTAGCCAGGTGCAAGGATCGGTATCATCCTCGGAGAAAATGGGAACTTCGGAGGGAGGAGGTACAAAATACAGGGGATGATTGGCCATCACCTTATGGTTATCACCGCCGTTTCCACCCCCAATTCCAGGTTCCACCATCGCGGGAGGTGGATCTCGAGCCCGACCTCTCGCTCGGTTCTGATTGCTATTCTCGGGCCGCCAGCGACGGGGAGCCAGCCTACTCAAAAAATGAGAAAAATTAAAAAAAAAAATCCAAAAAGAAAAAACTCTTAAACGAGGGTAATCGTCCTAGAAAAACCTCGGAGCCGAAATGAATCAGCTCTGATACGAAACTCACGCCCCCTCGCGGGTCGCCGATCAGAGTTATAGGAGGGGCGTGGCCGAGGATTTTTGGGCCGTTGGGGTTGAGTCTCCTGGTCGGAACGGGAGGCTCTCATTTCGAACCAGAGGTTATCTCGGGATCGATCTTTCGCCACTTAGTCCCGTGGAGGTCGGGTCAGCCCAGGGTAACAAAAAACGAATAGTTCCGCAAAGACGAACTGCCGCAGTGAATCAAAACGAAGAAGGGCAGCAGGGGGAGGATGCCACGATGGCTAAGGACCGAAGACCGGGCCGTCAGGTTATCGTTGTATAGGTGCTTGGTTCAAGGCCTTCAAGCCTGGACGTCGGACTCACAAAGTCCGCGCGGAAGTTCCCGAGAGGGTGAAGTGGCGGAAGAACTTGCCGATACCCAAATTCGAAATTGCGCGGGCAGCGCCCCCGCATTACGGGAGAGCCCAGGGAAACGTGACGCTCCCTCGTAACCCAGGACTAGTCGTCACCAAGAACAGGAGTCCCCTTGGCGACACCAGCGACAATCAAACTTCGGCCGCCACGTGGATTGAGCGGCCGACCAGGGCAACACAGTTAAATCCGTATGAGGCAATATTAGAGTCAGGAAATTCAAACAATCAATTAAGACGAACCCGTCTCCCCTAATATGAAGCGCCCGGGGCGGGTCTCGCCAACAGACTTGCTCCGTTCGATTCAAAGCGCGCCATACATCCGCATCGCAGTAGACATCGTCGTCATCTGCGATGGGGAAGGCCGGTAGCGAGATGGGACAATCGAAGGTAGGCGATAAACACGGGCCAGACCCCGCGCTCCCGGTCATCCGTACCAACACCGTCTCCATGCAACACTCGATGCGACCCTTCTCTCTCGTGGTTAGTGCGTCGGCAGAAGATGATGAAATCTAAGTTCTCTTCCCCGTCGCGGGGGCGTCGACCGCGCGCGCGGATGCCGGCGGTTGACGTCACCGGTCCAGGGACGAGAAGTTCAAAAGCGATGACTACCAGTTCAAAAAAAAAGGCGAGAGAGGGAGAGAGAGAGTGAGTTTACACCGCGACTGCGTGTGCGAGCAGGAAGGGCCGCGAAAGGGAGGGGAACAACGGGATTAACACACTCCTACTCCTAAGCAGACGGTCCTCCAGTTCAGTTCCCTTGTCCCCGCCCGGATAAGTACATACACACATACATGCATGCAATCAACAACCCTTGACAGGACATCCAATCATCCATAGACCTTTGACATCACTCATGCGCACAACAAGCTCTCATCACTCGGGGCCTCACACCCACGTCCTGCATAGACAAAGCAACAATGGAGATAAAAGCGAGTCCTTCTTGTATACAAAAATTCTCAATTAACTGTTGCCCCCAGGCGCAGCCTTCAAAACTTCCCAAGACCACCGACCACCATAGCCACAAGGCCCTGCCGCGGCTGGCGTCCAATCCCCACCACTGCTCAGTCCCTCCAATTGCTTCGCCCCGAGTCTACCGCGGAACCACCCCGCGTCGTCACTGCGCCCGTCCTTGGGCTCGTCGAGCCTGTTCGGCGCCGCGGACTTCATGCATAGCTCGCGCAGCATTGCAGCCGAGATCAAAGAGAAGGAGAGGAAAGGGTTGAGCGAATTTATAGCGCGGGAGGCGGCGGGTTGTCAGCGCGAGGTGTGGGCAGCGCAGGGTGTAGATGAGCAGGACAAAAGAAAGGTGGGGAGTCAGAGGGTTCGACCCGCGGGGTTGCATGGCCCTGCGTGATTGGGGTGTTCGTTCAATTGGTGCGCGGTTTCCCGCTGTCCACATTGATCCAAGCATCCCAACTACGCAGCCAATCACTTCATGGAGGAAGACGGGGTAAGGATCGAGCTGGGCGTAGGGGAAGACGAAGAGTCCTGCATGGGGGGGGAATCGCGCGCACCAAGAACGGAAGATGGCGCGGGGACGCAAAGCAAGAAACGGGGGTGCGAGACGCGCAAAGAAGTCGGAGCTTAGGCGCGCGCGCGCGCAAAAATTCAAAAAAAATCCCAACCGAAACCGTTTCTTGGTTTTCATACCACGGCCGCTATTCGCCCGCGTGGGAAGTATTAACCAAAAAAAATGAAAAAGCCGTTTCAAAAGGAAAACAAAAAGCAAAAAAAAAGAAAAACCCCTTTTTGTTCGCATCCGTATTTCGGGGCTTCCGGGGTTTTTTTCCTCAGGGAGACGGCAAGCTGCGTGGTACGGGTCTGAGCTTATCACACGTGCGCGTTGCGGACTACGGAGTGGTGGGCCTTGTTCAACGAACCCGGAAAATGCAAAAAAAAAGGCCCCCGGAAGCCCACCCCCCCCACCGCGTCACCCCCCGCCATATGTGAAGGGTTCTTTGTTTTGGAGGGGGGGGTTGGGGAATCCCCCTAACACGGCTCAGACGGCCCATGCAGGCTATCTGAAGGGTCCTCGCAGCCATGTAGCGCAGACCCCCCCACCAAAATCAAGGAAGGCAGTGAATATGAACTAGAGCACGAGCTGGCCGAATATATACTCAAGATTCAAATTCAGGTTTGTGTTTCAGCAGTTATGGGTTGCTCACGTAGCTAGGCCGTGTTGGTCTATGCACGTGATTGTCAGGGCTTAGCTGCACTACTCACCAAATGTGCAAGACTAAAATGAATCTTCTGCAGAACATGAAATAATAAGCCGCCATATGTTTTGTCTTTTGTGCGTGTGGTGAGTAGAGGCCCTTAGGGCCACTGCACGTATTCCTAAGAAAAGAAAAATGAGAAAAAAGAGAAATGAAAAAAAAAAAACAAAAAAAAACCGAGAATTTTTTCTCGTTTTTCTTTTCTTAGCAATACCTGCAGTGGCCCTAAGGGCCTCTACTCACCACATGCACAAAAGACAAAACATATGGCGGCGTATTATTCCGTGTTCTGCACAAGATTCATTCTAGTTTTGCACATTTGGTGAGTAGTGGAGCCAAGCCCTGAGAATCACGTGCAGAGAGCAACACGGCCTAGCTACGTGAGCAACCCATAACTGCTGAAACACAGACCTGAATTTGAATCTTTAGTATATATTTGGCCAGCTCGTGCTCTACTTCATATTCACTGCCTGCCTTGATTTTGGTGGGGGGTATGCGCTACATGGCTGCGAGGACCCTTCAGATAGCCTGCATGGGCCGTCTGAGCCGTGTTAGGGGGATTCCCCCACCCCCCACCCCCCCAAAAAAAAGACCTTTCACAGACACACACACACACGCAGACACACAAATTCACACACACACCTGTTTTTTTTTTGTTTTTTTTTTTTTGCCCCGTTTCGCCTGGGGCATTGGCCCACAGCCCCCCCAAGCACTGCCGCCGCTCCCCACACTGCCCACAACCCCCCCAAGCACCGTCGCCGCTCCCCAGCGCCCCCGACGGGCCTCCCGGACGTGGGTGGCGCTCTGCACGTTCACGTTCAAAGCGTTCACCCGTGCTCTTTGAACGGGCGTTCAACGCGTTCAAAAAATGAACGTGGAACCCGCGTTCAACAAACGCGCGGCAACACAGGTGTCGGTTGGGATATCCATTCATTGTTGGTGATCGGTCTTCCTTTTGCTGTGAGGGAGACCCCCAAAATATGGATGGGGGCCTCAATGAGCATCCACTTCACTCGCAGAAGTTTAGGGGGTTTGACCCCTTGATGAGGGATCCACCATCCTAAAGTTTTATTGCCCTGGTTGATTTTCATATTTGATAGTACGCTTAATTTATCCATCATGGTTTGGTTTGCTTTTAAGTTTGTTATTGATGCCTCCATCGTAAGAGAGAGATCATCAACGAATAAACAACAAATTGGGATGACCTCTTCTAGGATTGAGGCCACCTGGATTCCTTTGATGTTCTTGTGCGTCCTCAGGTTAGCGGCTAGTGCTTCCATAATAATGACAAAGAGGAAGGGGGCAATCAGATCCCCTTGACGTACCGACCACTGTAGGCACATGGGTGGTGCCAGGTTACCATTGACTATTATTCGTGTTGCGGCATTGTTGTGTAGAATTTTTATCCATCTCCGGAAGACAGACCCGAAATTGAGTTTTTCCAAGCATTTTTCTAAGGAAAGTCAGTCGATATGATCGTAGGCTTTCTCAAAATCAATGAATATGGAGACTGCATTATGCTTGGACTGGTGGGAGAACTTTATGAGTTCCAAAATGAGTAAAATGTTGTCTTGTATGTTCCTGCCATCTATGAACCCTGTTTGTGCTGGGTGGATTATGTCTGCTATTACCTTTGTCAGTCGGTTGATCTTGTAAACTACTGTAAAAAGGGTGATTGACCGATAGTTCTGTATGTTATTCATGTCTCCCTTTTTGTAGAGAAGGGTCAGTCACGGTACACCCTATCCCACAAATTCACCCATCCTCCCAGAAGTCCATACCGCTTGATAGAAATCCATCAAGTCCTGTGCCAAAAAGTCTCATAGTGTTTCCCAAAATTCTTTTAGGATACCATCTATGCCTGGGGTCTTTTCCTCTTCCATGAGCATGAAAGCTATCCAAATTTCGTCTTTGGTAAGGGGTTGCTCCAGAAGATCCTTTTGCTGCTGAGATAAAGAGGCGCTTAATGAGAGGAAAAACTCTTCTATTTCTTTTGTCCTTCGGTGATCTGGTATATGAGCGCATTCGGAGATGAAACGTTCTTTTTAGAATTCTCTAGCTATGAATGTACATTCAACTGTGGAGGTGGCTAGTGATCCTTGGGGTTGTATGGGGTCAGCAAGGACCTCTATGACAGATCTCTCGGATCTTACTCTAGCCATCGCAAATAATCTAGCGTCCATTGTTCCCTCCATCTGGTGCCATCCGAGCTTACCTCGGATGCGTGCACCCTGCCAGCGACGTTCCATATGTGCGAGAAGTTGGTCCTCCAGGTCCTGGGATTCTTTAACAAGGGATTGTAGTAATTCGTTGTTTCTTGTGTCGGTTTCATGTTGCTCCGGGTGATGTAGTCTTTTGTAAATGTGAATTTCTGCAGCATGATGCAGGGCAACTAATAATTTAGAATATCCATTGCACTTGAGGCTCAGATATGCCTGACCGTTGTTGAACCAAAGAATGTCATCTTGAAGCAGATTTCTTTAATCCTGCCAGAAGGACCAAACTTCTTTGAGGTACTCTTTAAACCTTTCCAGGCTCAACAGGGATGTGTTTAATTTATACAATCACTTGCCTTGTTCATGCTTCCTTCTAAATGAAAGGATGACCACACACATGGCATGGTCTAGACCAGGGAAGGAACTACGGTGAAATATCTCCGCTATCTGCAAGGACCTTTATAGTTCCTCTGATAGCAGGATGAGATCTCTGCGGGATTTTGTGGCCATGTTTGTCTGGCTCTTGCGGTAGCATGTGAGCTTACAGTGGGTTGGGAATGTTCCCTGATAGGAGTCGGAAATATTCAGACTGTGTAACCGGTTGAACGCGCCGAACGCGCGCGTTTATACGGGGCAGGGCCGCGTTCAATCGTGTTCAAACGCGATGCACGCCATGTGGCGCGAAAAAATTGAACGCGACCCCGCGCCCCATGCTCGCACGTGAGGGGCTGCAGGGTGGTGGTCCTCGTTCGTCGGTCCCCGAGCTTAAAAAAAAATAACCCCCCGGAGGCCCGCCCCCCCCAACCGCGTCACCCCCCGCCAACACCACCCTCCGCCCATACCCGACCGTACGTCAACGCCACCCGATCCCAACCCCCCCGTCAACACCCATACCCAACCGTACGTCAACACCACCCTCCCCACCGCCCTGTCCCCAGTTACAACCCCCCAACTGCGCCACCCAGGGTTCCTTGCTGGCCGCCGGCTTGGGGGGGTTATTAGGGAGGGTCATGGGGGTGGATAGGTGTGGGTGGGGTAATGGGGGATTATTAGAATGGGTTATGACCATTACGGGGGGTATACGTGTGGGGGGGGGGTGCGCGATGTGAGGGTTTGGGTTTTGTGGGGCGTTGACGGACTTCGGGGGTTTGGGCTTGGCTCGTTTTGAACCCGCACGAAGCCCAAATCCCCCAAGATCGCCCACACCCCATAAAACCCCAAAGAATTCCAGTTTTTTTTTTTTTTTTTTTTTTT